AGAAGAATAAGATCTGGAATCGCATCGAGCGGGAGATGAACGGCGCCGGCTATAAGTGGAACGCCGTGTCCCTCAGGGCGCTGTTCCATAGGCTCCGGTACACGTATCTCAATATTTTGAGGTATGGACACCAGATTTTTATGTGCAATTTTGCGTGTAAAATGTTTTTTTACGTTTCGATCCCATTCCCTACCATCCCTTACCACTCGTATACTAGTAGGCGCTCCGGTAGTTTGTATTACAGTATTTAATACTCATTATTTTTGTATTAATCTTAAAAAAGTTACTTTAAATTAATTTAGTATACTAGTAGACACCCGAGTAGTATATTTCACGGTATTTCATACCTATTAGTTTAGTATAAAGTTTGGAAAAGTTTATTAAGTATTTAAATTAATTCATCTGATCTTAATGTGTAATGTCTAAGCCGTTTCTAAGCTGTCCACTAACTACCAGCCCTTACCACTCGTACACTATTATGCAAAACAATAGTATTTATTACAGTTTTCATATGACATTAACGATCAAATAATTTAATTGTTAGGTAAGAGTTAACTACCGTTCCCTCCCTTGCCATCTAATTGTTTGCAAAGCTAGTGATAATTCACATCTCATTTTAACCCAATCCTGAACTTACTTTTAATATAGTGGTGATTATAATCCCTTTCCACCTCCCAGTCCTCTATTAAAATATGTCTTAATATTAATTTAGAGAAACTTATAGTCATTTTATACACAAAACAATTGATTAACAAATGGTTTTTCGCCAAAAAAAACTTACTTCTCGTTTACTATGTATTAATTGACTGCTTATCACCCCTACCCTCCCGGTGCTCATCCAGTACTGTGCCCAACGAGGACGAGGCGAGGGCTCAGTGGCCTTACTTCCGGTACTTGCATGGCATGGATCTGACGGCCTTCAGCCACAAGAAGCACATACAGGACGACAGCGCCGGCACCCCATCAGCCGCTCCCATAGCGACCAATACGGGCCCCAAACGACGTCCGGGTCGACCCCGAAAACAGCCGGTGCTCACCGCCATTGCCAACGACACCGACAGCCAGTATTCGAGCGCCGGTACCGCTAATGTGGACGACGTTGATGGACAGGGATTACGTGGCGTTACTTAATCTGGTGAAGAAGTATATGAAGTACTTCGAGATCGAGAAGAAGAATAAGATCT